ATCAGATGTAGCAATCATGCAACTTAAAAATGTCTGCTCTTATCTTTATTCTCTTCTTCTCCTCTTTGTTTGCTGTTCTGTTGCTTTCCTTCCTTTCTAGAAAAAGTGTAATGATATAATTAAAAAAAACATTACTTCAAAATAGGAGAGCCTTAAAACAAACTTTTTCAGCCACATTCACTAAAACCTTTGCTAGTGATGCATACGGTGCATGTAGTTATTGAGCAAACTTGTGCACCAGAGTGTAGTTTGTCTGCCATTTGAAATGCACATTTCAGGACTGATTTTGCATATACTTTAGAGGGGACACTGTGCAAAAAACAGGGAAAGATATAGTAAGTGTTAATACCTGCAATGGATAAGGGTCACACAATTTGTGAGGTAGGTAGGTTTGGAGAGTGAGATGGAGATTTGGAGACGCTGCACTTTTATAATAATGACTTCTATCTTGGCATATCATTACATTTAGATTTTTTTTTCAAATCCAATTCAATACTTGTAATTCTTGCCTTGACCATCTACACAGAAAACATACTGCCAAATGTGTGTGCATGCGTGTGTCAACACAGACAACAAAATGACAAATTGTTTAAAAGAAGAATGAGAGGAGTAATGATGGAACAATGATGCCACATGTGTACTGTAGCCCATGTGTGTATGTGTGTATGTGTGTGTGTGTGTTTGTATGTGTGTGCGCGTGTGTGTGTGTGTGTGTGTGTGTGTGTGTGTGTGAGTGTGGTGATGAATCTCTCATTGTGACAGTGGGGCCGGCAGCAGCGAATGTCCTTCTGGGTGGGACATACACACACACACACACTGAGACACGCATACACAGATGGAAACGACCACACTAATGGATCACCCCTGTCTGCGCGCAATCCGCCACAAATAATGATGAACCACCCCTGCATTAAACTATTTTACACAATGCTCAATTCATTACTTCTCTCCCTCTCTCTCTGTCCCTCTCTCTCTCTCTCTCTCTCTCTCACTCTCTCTGTGGGTATAGGTGAGCTAATAAAGGTATGATATTTCTCCTCTACCAGCACAATCATAGTTTTTATCCATTAGTAGGATATTAGGATGGGGAATGAGGAAAGGAGGGAGGGGATGGGATGGAGAGGGAAAAAGAGATGGCTTCAAATTGGTTTAAAAGCATTGCCACTGTAAAAAGTAACAGCAGCCCCGGGTGGAAAATATGAATGAGCAATTTGCATAGTTTTGGTTTAGAAGACTGGGGCTTCCCTCAGGCCTTTCTGAGCTCTAGGTGAGCTTCGGGATCTGGTTCTTTCCATATTTTCACTAACATTTTTAGTGTCACACAGATAACATCAGCTCAAACTACACGTGCTTTAATCAATTTTTGGAGTTAGTACTGTGTGTGTTGTGGGGAATTTTAATTATCTTAAAAGAAAAAAAGATGGGAAACAGGGCCTAGGATGAAAATACCCTGAATGATCCTATAAAAAAGATTCAATAAAACTTGGTCGAAACAGTTTGACCAGACACTAAAGTCATTTTAGAGAAACAAACATTGCTACCCTGTTTTGTATTTTGTCCATGTTGTAAAGATTAAAATGAACAACATAAAATACATAACAACAAGTATTTTTGTATCCTTTTTTAATTAACATTTCACCACTATTTAGAAATGATAGAATTATCCACAGCCCCAGTAAAATGTTGACAGTTATTTATTGGTATAGAAATTCAAATGGGCATAATTTTGACATTTAAATGATAAGATGAAAAGTAAGCACATACAGCCCATACAACGTTTGGGTATTAATTGATTTGGGACAGATTCTATTAAATACTGATCTAGTGTTTGCACCAGATGACACCATAAAGTAAGCTTAAAAAAAGAAGAAAAAAGAAAAGCTTTGTACAAAAGAAACAATGTGGCCTCAGCTGTTTGCAGATGTTCTGGCATGGGGCAAAAAAAACTTAAAACCATCCATCATGTAATTGAGATGAACATGTTATTTTGTGCTAGACTTCAATCTAATTGATTCACATGGACATGTCATCATTAATTTTCTATCAACTACTTTTAATCGTAATTATTTGCTTTATTTCTTATTTTCTACCTAATTTCCTTATTTTATTTAAAACTGTATTGGGACTAATTCATCAATAATCAAAAAATTAAAAACATTTATTTGGTTTATTAATGAAATGTGAGTATCATTTATTTTGTTTTTCACAAAATCAAAATGTTGTGTGTTACCTTCAAAATGTCTAAGGCTGTTAAAAAGTATGACAGTGGGTGAGAAAAAGATTTGACAGTAGCTGGTACAAGCCTCTTTTTTTGTCTAAAATACATTTTCCAGCTTCACTTTGCTCAGTGTGGGAAAGAAGAGAAGAAAGAGTCATTATGGATTTCAATTAAGTGATCCCTGGGCAAAGAGGGATGCATCAGAGTGGGGGAATTAATGTGCTGCGGACAGATGTTTAATAATAATGGCCGAACTGGCCCTGCCGAGAAACACACATTCCATCCGCCGCACCCTACTGTGGCTTTAGGAACACACAAGCACCGACAGACACACACACACACACACACAGGCCCACATACACAGACACTAACATATAATCACTCATACACTGACACACACAATAATGATTCATACACACGCACCGTGCAGAGCAGTGTATGACAGTCTCACACATGCACTCACACATTCACTCACAGACACTGGTATCACCACTGGCGTGCGCATGGGTCTTTATGACCAGTGCTGGCCACAGCGCATATGGCCCTCATTTAGGAACAATGGGCATGGAGAATGACTCGTTGGATGAGCTTCCTGACTGTGAGAGGTGACTGGAGGCATGTTAAATGACATGCCCCGTATGGAGAGATAGAATGAGAGATAGAGCGATAGATAGAGAGAGAGAGAGAGAGAGAGAGAGAGACAGAGAGAGAGACAGAGAGAGAGACAGAGAGAGAGAGTGCGTATACATTAGTTATGCTGGATAAGGAATTATTGCCCCAGTGAGCAACAAAAATGGTTTCATTGAGAGGAGTTAGGGGATGAAGAAAGAAAAAGAGAAGCAGAAAAGTGGAGAGAACAGGGAAAAGTGCAGAGAGAGAGAGACGGAAGGGGAAGATATCAGAACAGATGAGAAGGGAGGAACTGACTTGATGGAGGAGTGTATTACAAGTGTAGAGGGATGTGGAGATGGTGATGGTCTGGCTGGGTCTAGAAGTGGGTCATTAGACAGAGTGTAAACATCATGCCATTTTATGAAGTGCTCTCACTCTCCTTTCTGCGTTGCTGTCTCACAGATACACACCTGGTGACACCTAATCAGTGTTGTAGCAGGACGAATGGCTTCCAGCCATCCTTACAGTCTTGTCAAAAACAACACTTCCCTAAGAATCTCTCTGTCTCTCTCTCTCTCTCACGCTCACATACAGTCTGTCACAACAACATTTCTCCGGTAATTACCAGGATGGCCTCTCTCCTGCCGCCCCTCGATGGATGGGCTGAGCCACCATGGGTTCACCCCTCCAGCCATAACTCTACCTAGGACGTCTGCCTACTGCTCTTCACCACTGTGGTGGCCCTCAGACAGCAAATTGGCCTCAGAGAAAGACAGAGAGACAGAATAAGATTCTCAACAAGCATACTGGCTTACAGAGAAACATGCATGTGTGCACACAGACATGAAAGAGCATGGAGACAGATATACACACACGGGAAACATTCATTCACTTTTGCTGTTTGTCGTTTTCCTGTCTCTAAGGAGTAATCTATAATACAGACAGTCCTTTCCTATGACCATTGGCCAGACAGATATCTTTCCTTGCACAGATACAAAAGTGCACATACAAACACACACACACCCTGCTGAGGTGATCATTTTGACAGGTGAATATGGCTGAGGAGGAGTGGAGGACTGAAGATGATGGGAAATAGGGAAGGGAGAAATAAACTGATAACTGAATGATGAAGGGTGATAACGTCAGGTAAGGGGGAAAATAGATGGAGGGATGAACTGAAGAAGTGAGGCAGCTGGCAGATCAATACACAGATCCAGAATCTGCATCCAGAGAGCAGCCATTTTTAAAGTGTCTTTTTTTTTCTTTTTTTCTCCAATCCTTAGGCTATACAATTTACACTGTAGACACTTTGCTTCAGTATACTAGGTAGTACAGTGTCAGGAGAGAAAACCAGAGGATGAAATAAACAAAATGGCATTTGTTGAAGCAAGTCCATCTGAACTAGGACTTTCTTTTTGTTAAATCATTCCTTTTGTACAATAATACATGCTAACCCTATGCTTAAGCAAATTAAGACTTTTATGAATGCATGAATATTGTTTATTAGAGTGTCCTGCACCTTATATGGTGCCCAGCCCGTATGGGCTTACAAGACACTTAACCATAAACTTGATGGCAACATAACAAATCATCACATACACTTCCAAAATTGATAACAAATCATCACATACACTTCCAAAATTAATATGAGGTTCAAATCCAAAAAAAGTCAAGACTTTTAAGTGCATCAAAGTAAATTAAAATCTAGAGGTAAACTGTTATTTTTGTTTCATGGAATTGTCAATTTGTTCATTTTTTTAAAACTAGATTTTGTTTTGCTCTTTTGTTTTTCTTTTAGAAATCAAATGAGAAATATAGAACACAGAAAGTGAGGTCTAAAGTTATTTATGTAAATCAGGAACTATTACCCAGAAATTAAAACAACACTTACAGAAAACAGCAGTGTCCAAGGATCTACATAAAATGCTAAAAGCCTAAATGTTGTGAAAGGTTTTTAAAACCAACAATCAAAGGGCAGATTTTGCAGTTAAGCACCATGGTACCTTTTACATATATAGACAGGTGCCCTTAACCTTACAGATTATGTCGACATGTGTCAACATAAGGTAGGTATTAAACATCATGTTTCCCAAGAAAGTTCCTATTTACTAGATGATTCTGAACGCATCTCTCCGACCCTGGGAAACAGCTGCGTCGTCAAGACAACAAGTAAACTCACGTCTGAGTAGATATGGCGGAGCTGCTGAAAATAAAAAGTGAAGCTGAAGAGTTAAGAAAGGAATACTTCTTCAGAAACAAGTATGTATCTTATGTATGAGTAAGTTTTATTCAGTTATCAAAGACCATTGTGGCTGTCGTTAAGCAATTTTGCCGTAAAAGCCAAACCATTACGTTACCTAAAATGTCAGTTATGCTTTTGTTGGGAAACCTGCTAACTAGCTTGTCATGTTTGTAGTAAGCTAGCTAGCTGCCATCGCTTTTATCTGTTGTACTACTGTGAGCTGTTCCTTACAAACACGGTTGTGTATATTAGAATTTGGGCTTCATATTCATATTGTAACGTGTATGCATTGGTAGTGGTGCCATAAGGAAGGTAAATTATATGTATTATATATAATAAAACTCTAAAGCACCTGTAGAGCAAACAACATGGGACCCACAACAAAGTCTGTCTGTGAGCTTTGCAAGTACCGATTTTAGTGTTACGACATATTGAACGTTAATATGCTACAACACAGTGAGATAATGTAACTATAGTACACTGTTTTATTTTTGTGTCTTCTGTGCTTTAGCCAAGCTGAGGAGAACAGACAGAAGGAAAACCAAGCTGCCACCCGGATTCAATGCTGGTTCAGAGCCTGCAAGGTGCAGGCTTACCTCAGGTATAACGTATGGGCGGTGGGTGTGTGTTAGTCTAATGAGACTTTTGGTACTCCTTTGTGTGCCACAGGCAAAATAGAATACAAGCCTTAATATTTCATATACTAATTTGAGGTTTGCTTTTTCCTTTGGGGGTTGAAAAACATTCAGACAGGACTCAAAGAGTTAATTTCAAGGGAAACCCTGATACTAGCTCACTCCCATAATTATCCCACTTCTAGAGCTTTGCAAATGGCCTGGAGGAAGAAATGTCGCTTGCACTCTGTGCTCCTTTCACACGCAGAGAAATGAATGTCTCTATCTCTGTGCCTGTTCCTATGCTGTGACCCCAGCACCATTCTGCAGGGTCAGCAGACAAACTTCCAGACAGTAGGTTAATTCAGATTACTTTAGTTAATTGATCAATGCGTTAAGTGGATAATTAGCAACAATTTTAGCTGCCTAAGTGCAACTCCGGGGTTGTGCTATACCCACTATAAGCATTGATTTTCTGGGCATATAAATGGCCTTTTGGAAATTGATGGCCTCATTGGAAGCAGAGAATTGCAGTGGACTTGCATTTAGAGTATGTTTGAAGATGAATACAAATGTGTGCTGCTGACTTAAAGGGGGTGAAAGGCTCATCGGACATGATCGAAAAGCCTGGAGGAACAGAAATGGTGTGTGTGTGTGTGTGTGTGTGTGTGTGTGTGTGTGTCTTTGTGTCTTTGTGAGAGCATGTGTTTGTAAGCATAATGTTTCCCTGACCTTTTTAATTGAAGTCCTTTACATCTTATCATTTGTATGCAGGAAATCACTCTTTCCTTTATTGTTTTCCACCAAAAAAGAGAGCATAGTATATTACATCAGTAGCAATGTTGGGGTTGTATAGTGAATTAATTATTTGCATTGCACTATATACATGGAAACCAAATCTTTTATCTTTTTTTTTTTTTTTTTTTTTGCAGCTCCCTTGTATTTCTAGTAATGATTGATTAATTTTCTTGCTTTTTGGGTTGTAGGTTTTTTTGTACTCAGTTTCTTTGCATAAGCAAACAAATGATCAAATAAAAAAATACAGAATTTAATTTACTTCCATCTGTATCTAAATAACTTTCTTCAGTATTTTCCTTCATTTTAACTACTGGAAAATACCCATCCTTCTTCTCCCCAATATGACTTTATTGCAGGCATCTGCACGAGAAGGCAATCATTATACAGAAGATATGGCGGGGCTTCACAGCAAGGGCACGTTTCAGACAAATGGTGAAGGTAAGCAAGCGCCTGGAAAGGCTATAGATATATTGATTATGTTATGATAGCATGCATTAGAATTCAATTGCTATATTCCTAAGTCCCTGCGTCTGACCTTAAGAAATATAATTCACTCATTACACATTGGGAAATTAGCACTTAGGAAATATGATGCAATATGATAAGGAATTCCATCTATATTGCAACTCCTGGGATGCATATAGAAAGAGTGTGGAAAAGGAAGAGAGAGAAGGAAAGAGTAGAAGTGTGTACGGTGTGTGTGTGTGTGTGTGTGTATGTGTATGTGTGTGCTTTAGTAAAACAAGGCCCCATTTTCAGCATATTGCCTGCAACTGCTTCTTAATTGAACAGATTGTTGATACCGGATCCAATACCCAGCGCTCTCACGTATAATTTTCCCCTGGATTGAGTTTTGTAAACGTATCACAACAAGCTATTTATCATGCCTGTAAATTGACTGTTTGTTAAAGCATAACTGCCAGCCGCCGTTTGGGAGACGTTCAAGAAATGGAAAGGGGGGGGGTGTATGGGTTGGGGGGCGAGGGGTGTTGAAATAAACGATGAAGGATGTGTCACAACACACATATGGGCTAAAAAGAGGCTGTTTGGTCTCATTTGGAAACAGACGAGCACTAATTTGAATCACTCAAAATTGCCACAGTGCACTATTTTGAATTAGTCCTGAAAGATTCTGCTCTTCCGTTCCTCTCTCTCTGTCTTTCTCTCTTACTCTTGCGGACCTTATCATGTGTAATGTGACGTACACAAAGCCTCATCTCAAAACATCAAGCTGAATTTACGGCCTCCTTTCAAGCCTTTGTCTTCCTTCCCCTTCCACTCTTCCCTCTCTTCCCTGTCGTTATTAATAAAGACATGTTGAGATATGAATCCCTTTTATGGCCGACTCTCCAGTTTGCTCCTGAAATGTGCCCCCAGTGGTCGGCCGGCACGTTTGGTGTGCGACGGCTTGTCGGGTGCGCTGCTGAATATTCTCTGGCCTTTTGTTAGTCTCTTCTGGCAGTGCTGTCATTGATTATGAAATCCAGAGGAGAGCGTTTGGCCGTCATACATCTCCATTAGCTCACTGCTTGACTACCATAGATTTTCTTGGCCCTTGTCTGCGTTGGTGTATTAAGAGAGTACCGTTCTCCCCTTGATACAAAGTCCCACTAACCACTCTCCCTCTCTCTCTCTCTCTCTCTCTCTCTCTCTCTCTCTTTCTTTCCTCCTTTCTCTCCCCTCTTTCTCTCCATTCCCCTGACTTTTTCTCATTTCTCTTGTCTCTCTTGCTTTCCCTCTCTCCTGCCCCTTTCCCTCCTCCCTCCCTTCTACAGTGGCCCTATCTGTGCTGCCTCTGTGCAATGTATTATGTATAAAGAGCTCTTTATCTTTGACGCCTGCTGTGGACAGATCAGAGGGCTGGGAGACAAGGTGTAACGCCATCTTTTCCTTTGTGTTCACAGGCGGCATATTTTATCATGAAGATGAATTTCTACAACGAGATGGCGGTCAGGGTAAATATCACCACAGTGTCTTATTTTAGCAAATGGAGTGTCGTGGTGGGGGGACACTCTGTTTCTCTGTGTGTGCTGTAAATGGGAGGCCCCATGAATAGCAGCCTGTGAGCACTTAATCACACAATTTCATCATAACAACTTCTTTAATCTTATCTTCTTCCTATTTAATGCAGTATTTTTTCTTGCTTTTTAACATTTGTCTTCATGTTGACATCCCTGCACAATTTAATTTGTATCAACATTTAAGCCAATTAGACACAGTTAAAATACACAAAATTCTGATTATACTGTTCTGCTATTTCAAAATGACTATAATTATGTCTCCACACATTACACATTAATTGGTCCATGTATACTAACAACATTGTCCACTTTTCATATATAATTTTGATCCTTATTTTGTTCACTCACAAAGTTTGGTAAGAGGCCTATTGGTGAATGCTTTCCTTTAATATAAATACATGTTTCACAGTCTTAGCAATATGTATTTTATATTTTTATTTTTCCTCAGTCTTCATGCCCATTAAAATGTTGCCCCTTATTCCCCTCAGCAGCTACTACTGTCCAACTTATAAATCATAGCACTGTGGCTGTGACTGATACTTTGGAATTTTTACACAAGGATATTGCAGAGAAACCTTATATTTTTACAATTCCATATAGTCTACTCTTTTGGCTAACAGTTTCACTCTGCCTAAACCATTAAAAGGTTTTATTGGCCAACAAAAAAACACTAGTGTTTATTGAAGAGTGTGTGTGCTGTCCAGTTGGTTACAATATTTTCATATTGGTGGAAAAGCCAGGAAATTGAGGGCTTCAAGTTTTAGTGTTAATAGAAACCCAAACAAATCAAGCTGACCACCCTGTTGTTTCAATAAATGTCACATTACAGGAGTGACATGTATCTAGGAGTAGTGTTTGACCCAGCTGTATTAGGTCACAGGGTGAAAGTTTAGGGTAGATATCACCATGTCGAGCAAATTGGAAGTTTCTGAAGTTAGAGGCCTTTATTACTCATATAAAATAACCAGTTTCCTATAGGAAGCAATAGGACTTTTAATAGAAAAGGAAATGTATGTGATTGGAGAAACAAAGTGGCTTAGTCGTTTGCAATGGAAGAAGGTACAGGGTTTGAACCCCACAAGGGCCAAATTATGCTTTTCTTTGCAAAATGTGCATTTTACTCTGTGTGTTTGTCCAGGTTTTTCTTTGGGTGCTCCAGTTTTCTCACACCACAAAAGACATATATGAGGATATTAGGAACATTTCTGCCACTGCCCTTGACCGAGGCTTTGGCCACAGAAGTGGTGTTGGTCCCTTGATGCTGCACTGTGAACTGCCCACAGCTCCTAAAGACATACCATGGGACATATAGAGAGAAAAAAATTCTCCAGGCTGATCAATTAAGTGTAACTTTAAACTTCTAACTAAGAGTAGTTACAAAAAATAATAAAAGGATATAGTGAAAATATATTTAATAACTGAACCTGGACCAGTCTTTTTTATGATGCCACCTGTTGAAAGACTTAATGATAGAGTATGTTAGGATGTTAGGATTGCTCATATCCTACAAAATATTGGCAGAACTGTGAGCAATCCCGTGCAATCTCAGTCTCTCAGAATCTCTTCTGAATAATTGGCCTTTTGGAGAGACTAAAGCAATAGTCTTTGTTCATGTGTATGAAAATGAAATAGAGAGCGAGAGAAAGAGTGAAAGAGAGAATAAAAAATAAATGAGGGACATCTGTACTCTCAGACCATCTTTTACCAAAGAAATATTCAGTGTGTAAATAGAGAGAAAGAGAGACACAAAGGGAGAAACAATCATCTTAGAATCCCCTTGTGACATTTCCTTTGAATCAATTTGGGTCTTTTTTTTTTTTTTCTCTTCCCTCCTGTTGTCTTTATCACGGCGTGGTAGCTAACAGAGGATAATGTATTAGGGCCGTAATAGAAACCAGTGTTTACATGCCGCACCCTGGATTTGTATTAGATTCAACAGCATTGATTTCACTAGTCAACAAAGGTCAGCAAGAACTTGGGAGGCGGCAATTACTTTATTTAAAATTATCTATTGACTGGCAGATCAATGCTAATTCTCATTTTGCTCTTTGTTGTTTTTTCCCATCCTCCACTCCTTCTCTTCTCTCCTTTTCCCTCTTCTCATAGTGTGATTATTCTTTTACCTGCCATTGTTTTAATCTCCTAATTAGTCTGAAGGACATCCGCCCCCTTGCTTTAAAATGGTCCACTGGTATATGTGGGTGTGCTGGCTGCTAGCAGCCTCCACAATCAATGTGGACTGATACAGTTAAACGTATGAAGCTGTGACAGCTGTCTGTTCCACCTTGGACTGTCCCTCCATCACTCCAGGGGGAAAACTGCATGCATGTTTATGCATGGTTTAAAAGTTTTCTCCCATATACATATGTTAATATGTATTGTTTTTCATGGGTCCTTCAAAAGTTAAGTAATGAGAAGAAGCATTGGTAAGATGGTACATAGTATGGCAGAAAATGAAAAGAAATACAGTATAACAATGTCTTTGTCTCTGTGACTTAGTACTATGCTGGTATTTGTTTTATTTTTCTATGTTGGAAGAAGAAAAAATAGATAAGCAAACAAAACAAAAAAAATAAGGACTGAAAGGATTTAAATTGTTAGTGTCAGTGTTTAATGTTAGTTATTTAAATAATTGATTTCTTTCATATTCGTAAATAATTAAGCAAAAAAAGTACCACACTACCACCATGTGAATGAAACCTCTGTCATGTTTTAATCCTTCACAGATCCAGCGAAGATGGAGAGGATTCTTTGTGAGGAAGTCTATCCATAACTTCTATGCACGCAAGAGCTATCTGGAAGGACTTTCCATAAAAAATGAACTTGTCAGGTAAAATAGAAAAACAAATGGTTATGAATGTTAGAGAGCAGACAGTTTAACATCATTGCAACTGAATGAAAGCCTGCTCCTCCCTTGCTCCCAGTTTTTGAAAGGAAAGGAAATTGTTGAACACTGTACTTCACTATGTCTCCTGTTTTTCTCCACTTTGCTCCTCTGTCCTCTCTCACTCTCTGTCTCACTTTCTATCATTTACCCTTTATGTGCTTTGTTGAAATATATTTTTGCCTATGGTCTACATTATAAACAGGAAGCGGGTCAGCTAGTACATATCAGTCAAGATGAATTGATCTGATTTGTGTAAAGGCAATTGGTTAAAAGGTGTACTTGTGTACCCATAACCTTAAAAAGTGTGTGTGTGTGTGTGTGTGTGTGTGTGGGTGGTGTGTGTGTGTGTGTGTGTGTGTGTGTGTGTGTGTGTGTGTGTGTGTGTGTGTCTGTGTGTGTGTGTGTCTGTGAAAGGTGTTGATAAGATCTTTACTTGCATAGTTGTTAACTCAGAGGAACAGAACAGGGACAGGAGAAGAGAAAAGGAAAAGTGAAGGAATGAAAGAGAGTGAGAGACAAAGAGGTGGAGTGGAAAGAAGAGAGAGAGAGAGAAAGCAAGAGAGAAGTCCTCTAAAATGCTCGAGGCTAAGAGCGAGAGAAGTGAACGATGTGAAGAAATTAAAAATTAGCCTCTGATTTGAACCGCAGCTCATGCATTAATAAAACATCCTGTGCTCCAGGGCTTACTGCTAGAGATACGCCATCTTTTATTTTTGACAAAAAAAAAAAAAACATCACGTTTAGCTAATAGTCACATTTTTAATGTTGCTAATATATTTTACCAGAAAATATCTTTAGGCCTCAGCTAAAATTAAATGTAAATTTGTTAAAGTGCTCCTTGGATCACTGACTTCCCCCCTCACTTCCCCACCAGCGTTCCACACTCCTTGCCCCTTTTAGAGGTAGGCAGACTAGGCTGTTGAAGTCCATTAAAGAAGTGTTGTCACTTCAGTTTTATAACACACAAAGACTAACACACACAACTTTGTCAAATATTCAGATATGAGTACTACACTAGTGATGAAAGATAATTGTGCTCATTATTTCTCAAGCAAACTTGACTATAAAGTATGTAGAATGAGCATTTCCAGAAGCCATAGTGAAAATATATTGGTAGTTTATGTTTACCAAAAGTAACACAACTTATGAAATCTTGTATCATGAAAACCATTCCAAATGATATTTTTATTCAAAATAAACGCTAACATATTGCAGCCCATAACAATACCATTTTGTAGTTTGCAGTTTTTTGGACCCTGCCTAAAAAAACAATAAGGTATTGAATATTGCAATACTGTTCTCCTTCACATTTATCTCTTTTCACCCTCTTACATAGTATATTTTGAAAACAGTTGAATACAAAGTTAACCTAGATGAGACAAACATGGAAGTGAAGTGTGACATGATGCCATTTTACTGATTTGGTTGTATTGTTTCAACTGAGTTACATCCCCAGTCTCTTGAAGCACCCCCTCTCCTCACACACACACACACACACACACACACACACACACACACACACAGCCCCTCCTCCACAGCGGTTTCGGGTGTTGAGGTCACTTCACTTCTCCAGTTAATCACATGTTTATTTAGTGCTGCTGGGGTCACGATCAATTAACGCCGTGCCGGCATTTATTTAAAATATCCTTTCTGTGTTAGCCACCGAGCCCTTGGATCACACGCTGCCTGATCACTCACCTTGCAAAGGTCTACTTTTTAATCCACCAGCATGCTCCCTTCCTCTGTAAGTCTGTCTGTCTGTCCAACCCTCTGTATAAATTATTCAAAGTTGGACTAATGGTCCCCATTTAGCACAGGCTGATCGGCTGCGCATGGTAATGATATAGGAGTAATACATAGACTGCCGAACCTCTCTCTCTTCTCTCTCTCTCTCTCTCTGACTCTCTGTTTCAGTCTCTCTTTCTCTCTTGTGACAGATCTCCCCCACACAAAACCATCTGTGTCATTTCATTAGGTACAGCATCCAGCTAATACATGCTACCTATACTACCCTCTTCTATCCCCTGCCCTCACTCCACCTCTCTCCTTCAATCTCTGCCTCTCTTCTATCTCTTTCTTCTTCTCTTTTTCAATCTATTTTGCTCTATATATTTCCCTCCCTCTCTCTGCCACTGGTTCACTGTGCCTCAGTGTCCATCGTCATCCATCCTTCCTCTCCTTCTGCATAGCCTAATGAAGTCAGGACCCCGGCGCAGTCCCCACTCTGCCACAGTTTTCCTTGATACCCCAACAATTTATCACTTTGTCAGGGAGACACTTAAAGTTCCTGGGCTTTAATAAGGGCATGCAGTGGGAAGATGGGGGCAATTAGGAAAGCAGAGCAAGCCCGCTTTGCATATTTACTAAATGTGCTGGTGTCATCGCTACCGCCACCAACACGGCCTGTTGACTACATGAATTATTCCTCTATCTGCAATAAACAGCTGGGTAATTATTACTGCCATAATCAGATGAATAATTTTCCCTGTGATGTTGCAACAACATGGCAAAATCTTTTAACTTATCCTAAAGAGAACAGAAAAAAAGGAAGCTCATGGAGAATATACAGTCTTGGCGTTGCTAGGCTGAGTGACACTAGTGTTTTTTTTATTTTATTCTTCTCTTCTCTTCTCATGCTATGGTGTCTCTCTTTCTCTTTCTACTTTTTCCTGTCTCTCTTTACTCCAGCCTGCTTCATTTCTCCCTCTCTTGTGTCCCTCTCAAGGACATTCATGAAAGGAGAGCTGCTAGGGTGGAGAGAGGCCTGCCTGCACGCCTGCACGCCTGCACGCCTGCCCTGCGATCACTCTCCGCTTCTATGCGTCAGTCTTTCTTTAACTGCTCTTTCTTTCTGATCCAGTTTGGGTGGAGACAAGTTCACTCCTTCAGTCTGATTGGATTTGTATATTCAGTGTGTGTGTGTGTGTGTGTGTGTGTGTGTGTGTGTGTGTGGGTGGAAGTATAATCTGGGTGCTCTCCATGCCTCTTTAGTAAATTACTTTTGAGAGTGAAACTGGAGAAAAGTATAGAAAATGTATGAAATTGAAAGTCTTTTTCTCTTAGAGTATTAAGAATATTGATTGAGGATCATTTCAACACTGGAATCATTGTTTGCTTCCACATGTTTTCACAGCATTGGTTTTACTACTTTTGTGAACTGGTTAATCAATCAGTCAGTCACTTAAATGGAAACGATGTGTTATGAGGGTGCTGAAGGCTCAATACATTGAGCTGGTCAATGTCTAAATTGACCAACTGACTACCCCTCCTTGCCAGCTATTGAATCATTTAATTGGAGCAATTAAACAGCCAATCAGGTCAAGTCTCCATTAAATATTTAAAACCTGGCCAATTAGCTGCTCTGGTGCTGGCCTGGACGACCGCAGGTGTGGCCTGCTGTCCCACAATGCCTCACTCTCTGATATCCCATCAGGCCTTTATGCCCCGTTGTGAACCAGGGAGTAAATAATTGACGAAGAAGTGAGAAATGTAGCTGTACTATATTAGCCATTTAAATAAGTTAACAGTCCAGGGTGAAAATGTCAGTTAGGTTTTCAGTTATTTGAAAGTAGTTCAAGTATGCTTGATTAGCTTGTCCAACAGTTCAGCAGCCATCAAAAGTAAGTGCTCACACTGCATTATATGGCATTCTTAACACAATACGTACATATGTGTGTGCGTGTGTGTGTGTATGTTTGTATGTATGTATTCATTCCTCTAAGGTCTAAAGATCTTGTTCACTTTAATATAATAGCTAAAATTTCAAAAGCCAAATCTGCATCAGTGTTTTAAGAGTCTGGCATACTGTTACTACTGTCAGTTCAATTTTTATGCGTGGCTCCGGTTTTGCTATTACGCACCGTTTGTGGGGGTTTGTTTTGTTCTTTCCCTCGCTCTCCCCACTCTCTCTGTCTCTTTCTCTCTCTTCCTCTCTCTGGTGCACTCTCTCTATACCTGTTTCTCCAATAGGAGTAAAGCATCTTCTGGCAATTACGTTTCTGACAATAAAAGGAGTGACCTGAGGAGCGGAGAGGGCTGCTGTCACATTTGCCACATGTTTCGGGAGTGGACTCTCCCCCCAATGTTTTCTCGTTCCTCAGCACGGTCCAAAGTGCTGGGGTTTTGTTATTTTAGTTTCTTATTTTAGTTACTGGGTTGGAGATCATTGGTAGTTCAATTATCAGTTTTTGTTTTGGTTTAGATTAGTTTGTGTTTTTGCTGAGTGCAACAGCCCAACCTCCCCTTCTTTTGTTTTCTTTAGCGTTATTAAGCACATTTTTGCTATATCTAAAAATAGATTCATCCTTGTTTTTTTTTCCCACACTGTTGTTGTGTTTGTAGGCTTGGTTTGTAAGTGGATAAGTTGCTGGTGGCTTTGTGTTTTTCACATATTTTGTGGTTGGTAATTGTTTGACATTTTCTCTTGATGATGGAGTTTAGTGTTAACGATTTTGTGGAACAATTCGGAGTCTTGATAGATTCCATTGGTGCACAAAAGAGCACTTGATTGTCATTGCTGATCATTATGATATTACTGTTTCTAAGTATTTGAGGAAACAGATGATAAAATTGGAGTTGTGGTCTGCGCTTTCTGACAAGGGGATTTTGCCTTACGATCCTTGTATGCCAAAGATGGGCTCACCTGTTGTTAAACACAATTCGGAGTCTGAAATGTTTCGACTTAAAGAGCTGGAGATTGAAGTGCGCTGCTTAGATATCAAGGAGAAAGAACTTAGTAATGAGTTGGAGATGCATAAGATGGAGGAGGAGACAAAAAGTCAGCCTCATTTGGAGGAGCTTGAATTACAGCAATCTTCCTCTCTTGCTGTGCCTACCTCTCGTTCTTACGAGTTTGACGTGAACAAATGCATTCATCTCATTCCTCTATATAGTAGGAAGGATGTGGATAAGTACTTAACTTTGTTTGAGCGAGTTGCGAATACATTAAAATGGCCTAAGAATGTCTGGCCTTTGCTTCAGATAGCGCTCTTGACTATGATGCTGTTAAAACTGCTGTGCTTAGGGCCTATGAACTGGTGCCCCAGACATAGCAGCAGAAATTTTGGCATTGCAGAAACGCAGATAGTCAGACTTTTGTTGAATTTGACCACGAGAAGGAAGCTCTGTTTGATCGTTGGTCTCTCACCACTAGTGTTAAGGATTTTGACAAATTGCGTGACTTAATACTTTTGGAAGAATTTAATAAATATAAATATAAATGAATGTTTAAATGTTGTCTTCCTTCGTGTCTCAAACGGCATTAGGGAGAAAAATCGTACTGATCATCGCTGAGATTCAATAATAAGCTTAAACAGCAGAGAAGTTTTAATGAGTCGTTGTAGTAGCAGGAACATGTATTTTAAGGTTTAAGGAATTAAGGCTTCTCATGATTGTATACATAGACTCACATTTACATTTTGCTTTCCAAGCTTCTCACTCAAGGATGTTTATTTTCTTTCTTTCTTTCTTTCTTTCTTTCTTTCTTTCTTTCTTTCTTTCTTTCTTTCTTTCTTTCACTCAGTCAAACACACAGACACACACACACACACACACACACACAGAAACACAGAGGGCACGTGCCGCGTGCCGAACAGGGCTAATGAGGGTTGTATGTTGTGGCGGCTGGTTGGGTCGACACAGATCGAGGTGCCTTCAGCCGTTACAAATCTGTTTGGCTTTTGTCCACTACACAGCAATTAATAACACTGGGGATGGGGGTAGGGAAGCAAAGGTCACCCATTCAGCCTGACACACACACACATATGGACACAGACATGTCGACACACATACAAGAAAAAGTGTGTGAACACAAAGCATTGATACACATACATTGATCATACTATCACAAGTAAATACTGGCAGCCCAGCCACACACAAATACACTGGTCCTGACCCCTGAAAGCATTACCAGCCATTGCCATCTTTTTTCAAGGCAGTATTAATGCATGTACCAACAAAAATACACACATATTGTAAACACACATATGCACCAATTGGTAACTGTACCACAATAAACCAAAACTTTATATTTTACATTAATAAGTTAGCCAAGTGGACAAATAGAGGCCAAGGAACCTCTATATTTATACACACAAACATGTGTACACA